TGCTTTAAGAGGGGTGGACTTCCACTCCCAGAATCCCAGAATTTTGATCCACCTGATGATGGGGTTGCTGCAATGGTCATAAGTGTGAAAAATGCTCAGAAGTCAAGGATCAGATACTTCGTTTGGCTGGGTTTTCCTTGCTCTTGAGTTAGACATGACTTTTTACTTTTAAGTCTGTTTTTTTTCCCACATATATTTTGTCTTTCTTTTATGTACACTGAGAGCATTTGCACCAAGACAAAGTCCTTGTGTGTCCAATTACACTTGGCCAATAAAGAATTCAGAGTTCAAAGACCTCCTTGTATTGGTTGTTTTGCAGGAGTCCTCGTCTTCTTCTCCAAACCCTTTGCGGCTCTGCCCCCTCTCCTTTGGCGAAGGAGTGGCCTTTGATCCGTTGCCACCCAAGGATGTAAGGTAGCTTGTTTGTTTTTTATATTGCTTTGGCTTTTTAGGGAACTCTTTGGAAAGAGAACAAGAAGCGAGGTTGAAAAGGAAATAGCTGAAGGACTGTTGAATGTGTCCAAAGTTTAAGACCTGTGGACTTCAATTCCCAGAATTCCCAGCCAGCCTGCTTTAAGATGGATAGACTTCCACAATTCCCAAGCCAGCATGTTTTAAGATGGGTGGACTTCAACTCCCAGAATTCTTCAGTCAACCTACTTTAAGACGTGGGACTTCAACTCCCAGATTCCTTAGCCAGCATGTTGTAAAGGAACGGACTTCACTTCCCAGAATTCCCAAGCCAGCATGTTTTAAGATTGATGGACTTCCACTCCCAGAATTCCCAAGCCAGCATGTTTTAAGATGTGGGACTTCAACTCCCAGAATTCTTCAGTCAACCTGCTTTAAGATGTGGGAACTCAACTCCCAGAATTCCTTAGCCAGCATGTTGTAAAGGAGGTGACTTCACTTCCCAGAATTCCCTAGCCAGCATACTTTAAGAGGGGTGGACTTCCACTCCTAGAATTATTCAGTCAACCAGATTTAAGATCAGTGGACTTCAATACCCAGAATTCCCCAGCCAGCATGATTTAAAACAAGAGTCTTCGAACTTGGCAAGTTTAAGACTTGTGGACTTCGACTCCCAGAATTCCCGAGCTAACATGACTGGAGGAGGAACTCTGGGAGTTGAAGTCCACACGTCTTTAAAGCTGTCAAGTTTGAAGACCCCTGCTTTAAAACACAGGACTTCACGTCCCACTGAGCCAACTCAGCATCCTGTCTAAGGAATGCTGGGAATTGAAGTCCACCAATTCTCAAAGTTGCCATGTTTGAAAAACATTAAGCAGCGCCGTGGAATGAGTCTCCGTCGGGATGAAAAGGAAATGGGTCTCGTCTCACGTTACAGCTTTAAATAGATAATAAAAACAGATTTCTTTGCTAGAAGAACAGCTGTGTGAATTAAACATCTCCCTTGAAATCGTCAGCCTTTGGAGATGGGATTGGTTTCAAAGTCTCTCCGCATGGAATCCCACATTTTAAAAAAATCTCCCATAATAGTCAGTTAAACCGGCCCAAAATGTGATAAAAAGACACAACAGAAATCTTCAACTACGGGGAGTCCTCGACTTAACGACCACAATTAAGCCCAAAATTTCTGTGGCTAAGTGAGACAGTGGTGGTGTCAGTGACTTTCCCGCCATTTTCCCACTTGTCTTGCTGCCGTTAAGTGAACCACTGCAGCAAGGAACTTGGCTGTTAAGTGAATCTGGCTTGCCCATTGACTTTGCTTGTCAGAAAAGGGGATCGTGCAGCTGTCATAAAGATGAGTCAGTTGCCAAGCGTCTGAAATTTTGATCATGTGACCCCTGGGGAAGACGCAACGGTCGTTAAGTGTGAAAAAAAGGCGTAATTCGTTTTTTCAATGCCGTTGTAACTTCGCAACAGTCATTCAGTGAAGGACTACCCTACCTCTAAGTACAGATTCAAAATTACAGCAGCACTGAAAAAAGTGACTTATGACAGTTTTTTCCACACTTATGACCGCCCGCAGCATTCCCGTGGTCAGGTGATCAAAATTCAGCTGCTTTTGACTCGTATTTATGAAGGTTGTAGTTTTCCTGGGGTCACGCAACCCCCTTTTTGCGGCCTTCTGACCAGATTCACTTAACGACAATCCTACTAACCTAACAATTTCATTGATTCAGTTAACAACTGTAGCAAGGAAGATCCTAAGATGGGGCAACACTCACTTCACAAATGTCTCATTTAGCAACATTTTTGGGCTCAGTTGTGGTTGTAAAGGAGTGGTGCGATGGCCTAGAGGTATAGCTCTCACCTCACAATTAGGAGGCTGTGAGTTCGATCCTAGGTAGAGGCAAATATTGCTCTCTCTGGGCACAATGAGAATATATCTGCTGAACAAAACTCCTCAGTGGAGACAGGAAGGGCATCCGGCCAGTAAACATTCTATTAGCTCCATTCAGTTGCTCATACTTCACCCTGTAAGGGATTATGAGATTATGATGATGGTGAATTGTTGTTGTAAGTTGAGGAGGTCCTGTGTTTTTTTCCTCCTAAGAGAACGATGTTAACCAGTATTTATTTTCTTCTTTGCCCAGATATACGTCCTCGGTTAAGTATGACTCTGAAAAACACTTCATTAATAATATTTACATGCCAGTCCGGCTTGGGGTGTCGTCTTGCAGCCAAACCATCATCTGTGTTCCCGACAGCACGTGGCGCAGTTACAAAGCGGAGGTGCAATTCCACCTTTGCAACCGACCCGGGAATTTCAAAAGCACCACCATTGTGTACCCAAAGCACACCAAGACTGTGTACACCACCACCCTGGATTACAATTGCAAAAAGTTCAACCGGAAATTCTTGTCTAGCGTGGAGTTGGAATCGTCTGGCAATGAGAACGTCCCGGAAAGCTCCTGACTTCCATTTCTCTCTTGCTGAAATTCAGGCGGCTTCTACACACCGCCATCTTTTTTCACGCTCAAAACTAAAAAAAATAGCATCGGAGGGATTTGTTGCACCAAATATGGGTTCAACAGGCAACAGGAACGAGGAAAGGAGAGCATCATTCAACGGGTGCTTTGCTTCCTGCTACTTGTTACAAGCCACGGAGTTAAGAAAATAATAATCCTCTAATCTCTGATTGCTCCAAAAAATGAAATTAAAACAAACAAACAAACACAAATTTCCCTCCCTTTATCCATGTTCTTATTTCTCATCTTGTTGAATTCAATGGGAGAAAAAAAAAATCTGGATGGTTGATTGGACGCAACTGCAAAGCCGTCAAGCCGCCATTCCTATGAAAGGATCTGCGAAGTTAGCCGAAGGCCAAGAAGGGTAGGAAGAAAGAACGTTTCCTTGGATGGAAATATGGGAGAAGAGAGAAATGGCATTTCAGAGTCTTTGGAAGAGAAAGCACTACTTTTATGTAGATTTTCAAATACATCTCGAATAACGCCAGAAATAAATCAGCTACCACCCACCACTGATGTGGTGGAATTGAAAAAAATAAAAATAAAAATCAAGAGCTACTTTAAACCAGCATGGAATAGTAAAGGATCTCAAGTTTCACCCACAGTCACATTAAAAGTCAGTTCCCTTCTAACATGTCCCGTTTCGCTTAAAAGTTCCCGTACTTCATTTTTTCTTTTATGTATAAAAATAGTAATTTCCCCGCTCTCTTTTCTTTTATTTGCTTTCCTTTAAAAAAAAACAACCGCTTTATTGGTGGTTCTGATGTTTTTCTTTTATGGGGTGAAAATCAGGATCTGTTTTTTTTTTTTTTTCAGAGGGAACTCATCTTAAATAAATTTAACTTAATTTTCCTCTTACTTAAAGTAAGAACTTTTAACAGATTGTAGAAACTGATTTTGGCTGATAATGGTTTTCCTGATTCGGAGAGTTTAAAAAACAAACCTTTTTTTAAAAAAAATCTCATCTTTTATTGTGATTTTATGGCTGAATTCAGCACTTCCTTTGTTAAGTTAAAGCAGTATTTTTCGAACGTGGGCGCTTTAAAAGAGGCGGGCTTCAATTCCCAGAATTCCCCAGCCAGTATGGCTGGCTAGGGAATTCTGGGAGCAGAAGTCCACCCATCTTAACATTCCCAACTTTGAAAAACGTAGAACTAAAGTATAATATATAGATTTTGCCTGGAGCAGTTCCTAATTTTAGATTGATGTAGAATTTAAAAATAAATAAATCTGTGATTCAATTCAGGATATTTGAAGAATTCAGAATGCCTCCAGACAGTTATTTGAAATGATTTTACATTTAAAGAAAAAGACCAATGAGATATTATAGAATATAGAGTAATGTACTTTAACGTATCTTATTTGCTATAAAATTACCTCTCCATTCTTTCCCTGTGACTTTTGCTAAGTTCTGCTTCTAATGATTGAATAAAAGCAGTTTGTTTCAGGCAGGCCTTTTAATAATTAATTCCAAGCAATGAGACCATTAAATGCTTCACTTTTGATAGAAAAATGTACTTATCATGGGATAATTTATATAGAAAAGGCAGAAGAGAGGAAAACTAGGGAATTTTGTGCACTTTGGGGAATTGGCCATTAACTTTGAGAAAGGGACAGCAGCCAAATTTCCCCCAGGATGAAGTTTTTACATCTGATTAAATGTAATTTTATTGTCTTCCACCTGTTTTCCTGTGTGAAATAAGTTGTGGTTTGAGGATCAATACCACATGCGAGGAAAAAAATATCAGCAAAAGGTTGAAAAGAGATATTTGCTTTTGTATGTGTTCGGGATCAATAATCCCTAATCATAAAATGAGAGAAAAATTAAGCACAGGTTAAAAAACAAATATTTGCTTTTGTGCTTTCAGGATCAATAATCCTTAATCACAAAAAGGAAGAAAAATTCAGACAAGGTTTTGCATTGGCAGTTGCATAACTAAGTTAAGGTTGGGTTAATCATGGTTTGTAAGAGAAGCCACAGTGGACGCATTCTTACCGCACGCTGGACTGTAAGCCATGGTTTAGGCACTTTTGGTAAATCCAGAAAATATTCCGTAAAAATGGTAGTCACACATTTGAAGAAAATGTTTTTTAAAAAAACAACACAACCTGGCGCAAACAGATTTAATGGATGGAATATAAATAATCTAAAATGTTGAGAGGGACACAATGCTTAGCTTTCATTGAGAAAGTTCTTTGAAAGTGATAATAAGAATGGAGAAGTATTTTGTGATATTTGTGTTAAGTCTGATTCGTGAGGAGGATTTTGTTGGAGCGAAGCTGTGTTAATTTATTCCATTTTTTTTCCAATATTGGCAACCTTAAAATGGGTGGACTTCAACTCCCAGAATCCCCCAGCCAGCCTTCCAAGGCCATAGTTAAAATGGCCAACTTTGAAAAATGCTGATCTATAGTACCCACCAAAAATCAGGACTTTCTAAGCCCATTTTTTAAAATTAAAATCTTTTGTCAGCCTTTTAACAAAATCACACTACCGGTCACAAAACCTGGAAAATCTCTACCTTTGAGTCAAATTTGTTTCACTCACGGGAGGATTTTGAACTTGTTAGAACTGATTTATTTTTATTTTATTTTGTTTTTTTTTGCTGGATAGGAAACTTGAGAAGTAAAGAAAGAAGAGGGGGGGAAGCACATTATAGGGAAAGCACATTCCTTTATGCAAACATTGCATTTCTCCAGGCAGTTTTCCTAAAATAGTCTTTGGCTGAAAGAGAACTCCAGTTTTTGGAAGTCCTCGAACCCAGAACAGGGCGCAATTAAATTATGAAATCTCATCTAGCCATCACGTGCGGTTTCAACATTGCCAAAGTGGAGAATAATAGAGTTATTCTTTGAAAAGCAAACATTCATGAAAGGAGCATGTTAGGGAAACCGTCGTGGGCTGTTTTGTAAATCAGCCAAAACTTTAAAAGTTGCTCTGAATTGCTGACACCAGCGATATTTCAAGCCAACTGCCTTGATTTTAAAAAAATAATAATAAAAAAAATCTGGCAGCAGAAAGGAATTCCTTAAATTTGTGAAAGGACCTGTTTGGGACCCGCCAGCTATTGTCTCTCGCGCACTCGGGTTTAAACAAGGAATATTTTAGTAGGGCACAGTGTTCCTTGTAAAGGAACATAACTCAAGTCATCTGCGGTGCATTCCAGCAACGTTTAATAATAATTTTTTAAAAAAAAAAAATCTGTAAAACGATCCGGGGATGGAAAAATTAAAAATAACAGTTTGTTATGCTACTGCAAGTTTTGCGGGAGAGCAAAACTTATTATTTGCACTGTGCAAAAAAACAAAAACAAAAGCAAAATGGCTTTCTGCTTTCTTTTTAAAATTTAGAATAGAATAGAGCTGGAAGGCACCTTGGAGGTCTTCTAGTCCAGCCCCCTGCTCTAGCAGGAGATCCTATACCATTTCAGATAAGTGACAGTCCAGTCTCTTCTTAAAAACCTCCTGTGTTGGAGCACCAACTTCTGGTTGCAAGCTGTTCCATTAATTGCCCACACTTGTTAGGAAATTTGTCCTTAATTCTAGGTTGCTTCTTTCCTTAATTAGTTTCCATTAATTCTTGTTTCTTGTCTTGCCTTTTGGTGCTTTGGAGAATAAGTTGACCCCCTTGTCTTTGGGGCAGCCCCTCAAATACTGGAAGACTGCTATCATGTCATCCCCCGGACCTTCTTTTCTCTAGACTAGCCAAACCCAGTTCCTGCTACCATTCCTCATGTGTTTTAATCTCCAAGCCTTTGATCATCTTAGTTGCTCTTCTCTGAATTTTGGGTAATCCTCGACTTACGAACATCACTTAGCGACTGTTTGAAGTTGCCACGGCCCTGAAAAAGGTGACTTATGGCCAATTCTCACACTCAAGATTGTTGTAGCATTCTTACGGTACTGTGATCAGACTTTGGACACTCGTCAACGGATTTATATTTACGACGGTCGTAAGCGGTACGTGATCGATATTTGTGACTTTTCCATCCAGCTTTCGACAAGCAAAGTCAATGGGAGGGAGTTGGATTCACTTAACAACTGCCTGATTCACTTAACAACTGCAGTGATTTGCTTAACCACCCTGGCAAAAAAAAAAAAGTCATAAAATCGGGCACAGCTTACTCAAGAACTGGTTAGCAATGGGAATTCTTTGTAAATCAAGAACTACCTACATATCCCGAACTGAAAACCACCATAAGTCAAGTTTAAGAAATTGTGCTGATGGCAGGATTGGTTGGGAGTTTATTAAAAAAAAATATTGTTTAAAAGCGGGTCAAGGAATACTTTAGGAATACAAAGGAGACAGGGTTGGTTTTTGCTTTTCATGTTAAGAAATTTGAATTGTTGCATTCTTGGCCAGCTTTTGCGTTTCATTGTATTGGGTTGTTTCCCCAGGTTAAAATTCTTTGCCATGATACTTTGTCCTGCCAAATTACTTTAAAAAAATAGAACTTGGGGGGGTTTACCTGCCCAGCTAAACTTGGAAGCCAGGGATCATAAATTATCTGAAAGAGACCTTAGATCCTGCAACAAAAACAATAAAAAAAAATCCATGTTCATTTGACATGTTGTAACAATGGTCTTCTGTGGCCTCCTGGTGTGCGTTTTGCATACACAAAACACACACCTGGCAAGGTTTTTCACAATCTGGCATTTTCCCAGCATGAATTTCCCTAAAGACAGCATCAGTTTTCATAGGATACAGAGTAGATTTAAAAAAAATATGTCTGTCTTGCAATAGTACTCTGGAGTAGGTGTGCTCTGGGCTCTTTTTAAGTTGCATGTATAAAATTGAATCCTTTGTATAAATCCTTGTTTCTTTTTAAAGAAAAAAGTCTCACTTGTGTCATTTTTCAACAAGAATGCTTTGAAATAATTGCGTACTTTTTAAAGGTTTCGAATGTGTGATTTAAAGCTTGTCAGGCCAAAGATAATTTGCTTTTGAAATTCCTCTTTTTCATGCCATAATAAATTATATGAAGAAAATATCCTGAGCTGTGCTGTTGTGTGATGGTGGTGGGTTAAATTGCTTAGCGACTTACTCAACTTTAAGATGTGTGTGTCCTGACCAAGGCTTCCTGAGACCGTAATTAAGCACATGCTTAGTTAAAACAACTCGTTTTATTTCAACGCTGGGAATTATTTTCATTCCCTGCCGGGAATGAGTCCCAAACAGTCCCTCGAGATAAGCACCCACCTTTCTTTCCTTTGAATTGCTGCCAACAACTAGAGTGCCAAATGAATTATAAAAAAATCAACCGAAGTACAAAGTCCACACAGAGCTTCAAGGATTAATCTGAACAGAATGAACGACTTTGCTTCCTGCAAAGGGTTCTTCACCTTTGCCTGTCCTTTATACCTTATGAGAGGGGCAATCACCTCCCAGCCTTACTCCTGAGTTGCTTTTCCCTCAGCTGCTCTTGCCTTCTGGCAGCTCTGCGCACACGCGCACTGGGAACAGGCTCCCGTTGTTCCTCAGCCTCGCTGCTGCCAGACTCCGGAGGCTCCGGAGTTAGCACCCCACTC